AAAAAAAAAAAAAAAGATAAAACACAGCACTAACTGAAAGAGATAATAAACATAAATTTTGATTACTATGGAATTCATAAAGAAAAACTTAACTCTAGTTAAACAACAACAACGAAAGCCTCACTTTTAATGAGGTTTAGCTAGAGGGCCCTCTTGTTAAAGTTATCTCCAAATCCTAGAAAGATGCCAAGTATCAAAACTTTCCTTTGATACATGAAAGGAAAAAACAAGATCACCATGACCAGCAGGGAAGAGAGTCAAAGAACCCAAAGTAATCAAGATATGACAAGCTGGCTTTCACTGTCATAACTGGAGGGTCATCAACCAGACAATGGCAAGATGAAAGCACCTGAACACAAGACTACAGTGAGGATGCTGGCGACTCAGAGGTTTGATGCATCACCTTCTCATTGCAGCAGCGGTCTCTAGTCTCCTCTTTCATCTTTCCCAATAGTAAAGAGCCCTAAGGAAGTAGGACCTACATTCCAGGACCATACAAAGGTGCAACCAGTAGATTTAATAAAAGGAGGAGGGGGAGTTCCACACAAGCAAATGATGTAGAGAGAAATATAAACAAATAATTTCCCCCTTCTTTTTCCTCTCTCTTCATTACCTTCCCAATTATCAGCTTGGAGTGTTGTTACATTTGTGTTTTACCATAAGCTGCTACAAACTCTGTTTGGACATATAAAAATGTAAATAAAGTTTAAAAGTACTTGTCCTACCCATATATCAGTACCCCCACTGTACCATAACAAAACATTATATTCCCATACAAAAGCACCTTTCACTTTATGAATATAAACTCCAAGAATAAGTGGGGGTACAGTTGCAAAAAAAGAAGCCCATTCTGGGGCAAAGGCTATCAGTTCCAGCTTTCCATGATTTGGAACAGCTGGCTACTTAAAAGAAAACCCAGCATCTGACTCGATTTGAAAAAGCCTAAAGAAGCATTACTTTCATGCAGTTACGAATAATTCAACCTAAAATACTGCCCTTAATGATGGAAACTACAAATATAAAGACTTAGAATATTGTTGAAACCATTTGTAACCATGTCCAGTGTTTAGATGATGTCAAGTGAGTCCACGGAACATTTACTATAACAAATCTTAAATCTTTCATTAAATTATAAAACAATCTGTACCTAAATATAACCTATGTTGTACTTTCACATCAGTAGTAGTTGCAGATTTTTTTTCACGTGACTAACCTAAGAAACAGCCTATAAAAGCCAGGAGAATGCTAAACTTCTTTAAAAATAATAAATGTTTGGGAATGCAAGCTGGTGCAGCCACTCTGGAAAACAGTATGGAGGTTACTCAAAAAACTAAAAATAGAACTACCCTACAACCCAGCAATTGTACTACTAGGCATTTATCCACAGGATACAGGTGTGCTGTTTCAAAGGGACCCATGCACCCCATGTTTATAGCAGCACTATCAACAATAGCCAAAGTATGGAAAGAGCCCGAATGTCCATCGATGGATGAATGGATAAAGATGTGGTATATATATATATATATAGATACACACACACCACACACAATGGAGTATTAGTCGGCAATCAAAAAGAATGAAATCTTGCCATTTGCAACTATGTGGATGGAACTGGAGGGTATTATGCTAAGTGAAATTAGTCAGTCAGAGAAAGACAAATATCATATGACTTCACTCATATGATGACTTTAAGATACAAAACAGATGAACTAAGGGAAGGGAAGTAAAAATAATGTAAAAAGAGGGAGGCGGACAAAACAGAAGAGACACATAAATATGGAGAACAAACTGAGGGTTGCTGGAGGGGTTGTGGGGGGGGGATGGGCTAAATAGGTAAGGGGCATTAAGGAATCTACTCCTGAAATCATTGTTTCACTATATGCTAACTAATTTGAATATAAATTTTAAAAAATAAAAAATAAAATTTAAAAAAAAGTGTTTTTTGTTTCCTAGAAAATAATCTTCTAGGAACTTGTCTTACTTAATTTTATATGTCTATTAGAACACTCGCTAATGTAGGTACTCAATAAATGCTGTGAAATAAATTGGTAAAAAAAAAAATCAAGATACGTAAACCAGCCTCTGCAGAATTAAATTTCTGGCTTAACTTTTAATACTTTATTGTCATTTCCCTCCTTCTTTGTCTTATACATATATTCTAAGAATACTTCTAATAATAAAAAATTTTAATATTCCTTAAAAAAATAAGTGTAAAATACCCTCAGTCTTATGACTCACTTGTTATAACAGTAAATCAAGGAAAAGTAATATATGCAACATTACCTAAACTTTAGTAGATACTATCATCACATAAAAAAAGGGCTTAATTTTCCTTACATACCACAGTGGGAATGTTTACCTGTACGTTAATATGAAAGATATCAGTTATAGCCAAGTAAACGGGAACCGAACTGTATTCTTGAGAAGGGACTACCAAGCGGTTGCTTAGACAGAAAACTAAGAGCAGCCAGAATCCCACAACATAACATTTAAACTGTGATTCACAGTATTAAGACCGTGCAAAGAGGGGTTTTTTTGGTTTTGTTTTGTTTTGAACATAATCCATCTCCATCTCTTTTGGAGAGGAGACAATGAAAATTTAGCCAAACCATTTAGCAGACTATATTAAACTATGCTTATCAAATCCTCAGTAGTTCAAGTGATAAATAGTTAAAAACACAGGTGACTTCCAACATACCTGAAATGCTCCTATTTGCACTACTCCAGTTTTGCAATATTTTAAACTGAGAACTATGGAAGGGAAAAACTGTCAAGTGATTGGTTTCCTTGAGCATTAAACTGATGATACACCACATGCTTCTGTCACGGTGTAAATTTTTAAAGTTTTCAATCAGGTGAAAGTGCTCATGAAGCTCAAAATTTCAAAACAATTCTTTGCAAACTGCCAGTAAATATTCCCCAAGAGTTTAAGGAAATGACACTCTATCAAACTATATTCATACCTTGCAAACTGTATCCATGTCCCAAGGTAGTATGGTCTTCAGATCAATGACTTCACAAGACACTCCAAGCTTTTCTTGAGCCATGGAAGCCACCTCTCGCATGACATGAACCTGAAATAAAAACAGCAGAGAATAACTACAGAGATTGAGACCTGAAAAACTAACTGAATTCTGATATCATTAATAGAAAGTGTTTAAAGTCAGAGAAACTGATTTTCATGAAGAATTAAATGTCTTAGACATGTGGAACCCCATATTCTACCAAAATAATCAAACACAGATATCTAGAAAACGGTTGGAAAGATGTTCTCAAAGAAAAGGAGAGCAGTCATTGATAGAGACATTGATTCTAAAGATATCAGCATACAGAAGGTAAAGTCACAGGAGTAGGTTGAGTTTCTAGAGAGGGCATGAGGAAGGAGAAACAAAGGGAAGATTGTGGAACCCTGTAGATGACCAACATTTAAGGGGAAAATGGAGAAGGAGGAGCTCACTTTAAAAAAAGAAAGAAAGAAAGAAAGAAAACAACAACAACAACAAAAAACCCGAAGAAAACTCAGGAGACAATATCTCCCAGAAACTAAAGAAGAAAGTGTTTCATAAAAACAGCAGCCAGTATCATACACCATAGCAATATGGGATAAGGGTTGGATTTAATCATTAGAAAATTAGGAATGTTAGCAGAAATAATTGTAGTAAATTAGTGGGAACAGAAATCATAGGTACAAGAACATAAGGAAGTTAAGGAATTAAATATAGGTAGTAGAAAATGGTTGTTCAAGTTTAGTGATAAAAGAAAGGAGGAGATGTACTGGTATTTAAGGGAAAAGCAGGGTAGAGAAAAGGTATTTTTTAGATAGAGAAGAAATATACACCTTTTTAAATTTTTTGCAATGTTTACTTATTTTTGAGACAGAGAGAGACAGAGCACAAGCAGGGGAAGGGCAGAAAGAGAGGGAGACACAGAATCCAAAGCAGGCTCCAGGTTCCGAGCTGTCAGCACAGAGCCCGATGCAGGGGCTTGAACTCATGAACTGTGAGATCACGACCTGAGCCGAAGTTGGACGCTTAACCGACTGAGCCACCCAGGCGCCCCTAAGAAATATACACCTTGTTAATAAAAGGGACGTGGAAAGAAGAAACTGAAGATGCAAAAGAGAGAAGGGACTAGCTGGTAAGTTACAGACCTGGAGAAGGTAAAAGAGAATATAATCTGAAAGATTTGTAGAGGTAGGTATAAAAACCAGACACCTCTTCTTTTGAGTACAAAGAGAAAGAAGAAAGGAGTGGCAGCAGACATGGAAGGTATGAGGAAAAAGCAAGTTATAGGACATAGTATCCAATACACTAACTCCCCTATTACAAAGAGAGGCAAGGATGCATGCTGTGTGAAAGGGATACAGATACAAGATTTTCCCACTGGAGGTAAGAAACCAGGAGGACTGGCTCTCCAAGCCAAACATCAAGTGGAGAGGAGAGTAGGAGGTTGTGGTATTACAAATGATTTCTATTATTTTCATTATTTAACATTGCACCAAATTTTCTAAAAATAAGTATTTCCTTTACACAGAAGAAAGAAAAATGGACCATTTCTTTAAAAGAAGGAGAGAGAAAAGTCAAAGATAGAAGTCTATGGCCAGAGGAGCAAAGAGTCCCGAGTTTCAAAGTCTGGAGGCAGGGCCGCATGACAAGCACCGGGAAAATGGAGACAGATCAGAATTGAGGCTCGCTGGAACAGAGGAAGGTATAGAACTCGGACGCTGGATCACTAGATGTCCCATGTGGCCAGCTACATAATCACATGAGATGGCAGCAGATGTGATGTAAAAGACACCAGGTCAAGTGCAGAAGCTAGAGTGAGTGATGTATAATGTGTGCCTCAAAAGAAACAGTTTTGAATGAATCCATTTGCATAAACTCAACAGATTTTAATGGTTTTACCACATTCATATATATTTTAATATAACTGAATAGGCACCTCACTTTCAACCAGAAATCAATACCAAATACAGATGTAGCACAAGCAAGACTAAAATTTGAGACAGAAGAAAAACACTTTAAATTTTTATAGTATCAGGATTAAAAATGAGAGCTTCCAAGCACAATATGGACATTATTGGTTCTTATAAATGTTACTGACCTGAGTGCCCCAGGCAACTAGAGTAACATCACTCCCTTCCTGTATGACTTCAGCCTGGGACAGGGGGATGTGGTATGGTTCTACAGGAACCTGTTCAACTGAATATGTAACGGGGGAAAAAAATAAAAAGTTATTTTTTTTTCATGTGGCACTTGTGCATAAGAGAATATAAGAATTTCATTTTGGCAAAGCTTTATTTTACTCTTCCCCCAAATTCCCTAAGTTATTTAAAACAGAAATAGCATTTATTATATGGCTCCATGACATCACTACACATATGAAAAAGTACAATGTAAATGTATAAAATATATCAGCTATCCTGTAACAGAAGAAGGACTTTGGATAAAAACTAATCAAATCTTACTTAAAATTAGGGCTTTGGTCACCAATGTGTCAATATATGTGTCAACTGTAATAAATATGCCATACTAATAGGAGACGTTAATAATACAGAAAACTACATGTGGTGTATATGGGAACTCTCCTGTACTATCTCCACACCTTTTCTGTAAATCTAAAACCATTCTAAAAAAAAATGTTAACATGTCTGCTAAAACTTGATCAGACTGAAATAAGTTCTCAGACAAGTTTTCTATCAAGAAGCAAATTTATGGGGGTTTGAAAAATGAAACATACATAGTAGGGCCAAATATTTAAGCATATTTTATTTTTGCGCCTTACATCTATGAACACTTCATCCATTATGGCAGCCGACAACACCCTAATTTTCAGAGCTGAATCCTGTAGATCTCGAAGAGATATGCTAAAGCAGCTCTACCGGGCTAAAGGAAGCATAAGCCACTGGTATCCCAGAGAAAACTATTTCATGATTATTTCTGCCCAACCAAACACAAGCAATATAGAGTTGACTGAATTCAAGAGGAAATCATGAGATGAATTTTTAAATGAAATTGAGTAGGAAGTTGATGGAATTGCCCCGTTAGGCTAGGAAGCCGTCTTGAATTCCATGTGAGAGCAGTGAAACAGCAGAAGTGGTAGGGAAAAATAGTTCCCTTTTGTTGACTTTCCCCATAATCTTTCATCATTGTTGTTTTAATCTTTTTTTTTTTTTTTAAATCAAAGAGCAAAGAAGAGTAAAAAAAAAAAAAAAGGTTCCCTCTGAGCCCCAGTTAGTTCTTCCAACTCCACTGCCCAGAAGTAATCAATACCAACAACCTCCTGGGTGTCTGCAGGGGACAGCTTTCATTCTTTCTGTCATCCACGCTTCTTGATCCTCTTCCTAAATTGGGGAAATGCCCCATCTGATGAGGCAAGGCACTTTGTCCACTACAGAAGTAAGGTCCACATAGGCACTTTCCCAGCTTCCCTTGCAGCTAGGGCACAACATGTGGGCTCTGCCAATCAAAGGCAGACTCTGAAATGGAAGCTGATGACACAGAAGAGCAGCAAGTACCCAGAACTCATCCTAGAGTACGGATAACAGTGGAGGCAGATCCAGCATTCAGATTCAGTGGTATCAATATTCAAGACTGCAGTTCCACATCCACCAATAGGTGCTGGGGCATCTTTGCAAAACCAGTTATGTGGCGGAATTTTGGGTATTGCTTTAGACATATGGCCTCTAAGCCTGGCTCTTAGGCACTGCAAAGATATCTCAGCTATCCATTATCCTTCAATAAATCTTTTCTGTTTTTATATTGGCCAGAGTTGATCTCGGCTTGAAAGTTAAGAACCACGACTGATTCAGTGTCTTTTCAGATATTTATAATAGTCAAGTATGCACACTTATCAACACATGTGAATCTTTTTTTCCACATATAGAATCACATTGTACACCCTGTTCAGAAGTCTTCTATCATCTCACTATTTTTTCACATGGCAACATATCTTGGCCATGTTTTCATGTCAAAAATATAGATTTTACTTATAAATGATTTTTAAAAAACTACCAAATTTAGGGGCTCTGTGCTGACAGCTCAGGGCCTGGATCCTGCTTCAGATTGTGTCTCCTCCTGTCTCTGCCCCTCCCCCACTTGTGCTCTGTCTCTCGCTGTCTATCAAAAATAAATAAATGTAAAAATAAATAAATAAATAAATAAATAAATACTATCAAATTTAATGGTACTATTCTCAGTGATGTGGAAAGTTTTTTCTTTTCTTTTTTTTATATTTCCAATCCAATAACATTTCTATAATCAATGCCAGAGAAAGAAATGAATATTTTTAAAATCACCAATACATTTAAACTATACACTAAAATCCACAAAACTACTCAAAGCAGATGACAATTAAGCTAACTAACAAACATGAGACACAAGCTGTGTTAGAAAACTCATAAGCAGGGATGCCTGGATGGCTCAGTTGGTTAAGCATCTAACTTTGGCTCACAGTTCGTGAGTTCAAGTCCCTGCATGGGGCTCTGTGCTGACAGCTCAGAGCCTGGAGCCTGCTTCAGATTCTGTGTCTACCCCTCTCTCTGCCTCTCCCCTGCTCATGCTCTGTCCATCTCTCTCAAAAATAAATAAACGTTAAAAAATTTTTTTAAACTCATAAGAATTAAAAGCATTTCTTTAAAAGTTCTTGTGTAGCACACAAATTATGTTGAGCCAGATACTTCCATCCACACCAGGAGTAGGCAAGTCAATTTTTATAAACAATATTTTACTGGAATACAGCCACATCCATTCATTTATATATTATCTATCGCTGTTTTTAACCTACAACAGCAGAATTGAGTAGTTACAAAGATAGCATGGCCTATTGGCTAAAATTCTTACTACCTCTTCCTTTATAGAAAATGTTTGCCAACCTCAATTCTAAACAGTGCTTTCAGAGGTTAATTCCAGCCCATTTATTGACAGCTTAAATCCAGTATTTGATGGACAGATGAAACAACAGATATATGGCTGGATAAAGGAACACACAGAAGGAAGACAAACATTCAACTGGAGTAGTATATTCTACTTAGCAGTTCTCAGTTGCTAAACCAAAGTGATGGTAGTTTGCTGATGATATCCAGCAAACTTGTGAAAGGTAACACCATAGGCTCTTTGTCATCATCAAGTAGTCTTTCCTAGGGCAGCAAGATCTGCATCAATAGACAAGGCTTGAAGCCAGTACACACACTGTCTTTTCAGTGAGTCAGTGGCTGTCATTCAAGAGTCCCGTCTTTCCCGCCTTTTATATCAGTTGCCAGCTGATTAGCAAATCCCTGGAACGCACAATTCTAATGGCTGGCACACTAAAAGAAGTGGGTTAGCATCTTGGCCCACTTCCTCTGAGAAATTGCCAGTGAGTGACTAACTGCTTCATTGTATTAAATAAATTACCCAGCATAATAAGACCTCATTACTTTAACACTTAATTAAGGAATGAGATGGCAAACAAGGCATTGTTCTCCATCAACAAAATCGTGCAGGGAATTATATTCAAGAAGAGTCTCATATTAATAACAACCAAAAAATCTACTAGAGTCACATAAATTTAATCCTGAGAGCAGGAGAATAAGAATACAATTTTAATATGTTTGTTTATTTAAACGTGGCACACAGGTCACTTAGAGGGTAAGCCGTAACTCGCAAGTACCTTAGCTACCCCAATGTAAAAGATCCTTACTCCAAGAGAAGGTTATTATTACAAATAAGCATTCTTGCATTCCTACCCCATGACTATGTGATTTTTGAAAGAGAACAGGTAAGAGGAGTTACAGCAGAAAACTTCAAGAACTGAAGAGCCCCTATACAGTCATATTACAGAAACCCGTTTTCATAGCAGTGGGACCAAATGAGACCATTCCATTTCACCAAATGTTGATTACATTCAAATCGTAGCACTAATGAATATTCCAGACAAACCCTTCAATATCAGATATATATTAACAAAAATGTGTGACCCAGAAAAATAAGAACTCTAAAACCAAAATTAAAAAATTAAGTTTTTTGCTCAAATATCAGATTTTTAAAACATACATTGTAAATTCCATATATACGTTTCCTTTGTAATTGCAAATGCACTTACAGTCACATTACATATATACTTACAGACTCATGGCATGAATTAGCTCATGCCCACCCCAATTTTTTTTCCTCATCCTCCTACTTTTTTCCTTCTAATTTTCTTGTAATTTGTTTTGTCATCTTAAACACATTTTTAAAATAAGGCTGTATATAAATGTATATACTATGTATTATATATCTTTATTCATTTAATAGTTATTGTATAGCCAATATATACAGGTATCACACAGCATACTGGAATATGAAATTAAAAGAGGCAGTCCCTGTCTTTGACAAGCACATACTCAACTGGGAGGTATAAAGATGGGAAGACACAATCAGCAAACAAAAACATGAGACAGTGGTAGGGATAAATTGTTCTAGGAATACAGAGGGAAGCAACAACCTGGTTGTAAGGATCAAGAAAGCGGTACCACCATGGAGGGCACAATTGACAGGGGTCTTGGAGATGATGGGAAAATACAGAGGGAATTCTATGTAGAAAGCAAAGATGTGTACAAAGAAATGGAGGTGTGAAGTTGTGTGTGTGTGTGTGTGTGCGTGTGTGTGTGTGCATCTACAAACACCAGTCAACACACATTTATGTGCTGTTTCAGGTAAAGGGGAAAGCTTTAAATTATATACCAAAGTCCCCAGGTAAACCTTTTCAATTCCTTCTGGCTTCATATATTAATAACACATGCAGAAAGTGTCTGCAAGAAATAATAACTCACTCTTAATGATGCAAGTTTCCCTGTGAGGCACAATATTACCATTACAGAGATAATAGGGTCATTTCTCTGCCCTGGCACTAATCTGCAGTAATGCTAGTTTCCTCACAAATGTGAAAGTCAGTAGGGCTTTATTCATGTTGCATTATACATGATGCAGTGATAAAACATAAATGTTCTTCTTAAAAAGAAATAGAGTATATTTCTAAAACGTTACTTCAATGCTGCCTGATTACTAACAACATATTGGAAATCTTCATACCTGAGAAAGTCTACCGAATTTGTCAGAATTTACAGTCTAATGGGAGAGGGTGGGAAAATTCACCCTGTCTGTGCATCTAACTAAATTGGTGATCTCTTACAAAGCATTGTAGTACTTTTATGCCCCAGTATCCCATCTGTAAACTGTGG